TACTTATCAACACAGTAATACTACCATTAATGATAATAATTATCATGATGATGAGATAATTTTATTTGACCTTTACTGCAATACCAAACTTCTAAGTTAAAACAGCTTAACCTATTCCATATCTTTCACATAACACTAGGTTTTCCATTATATTATTCAATATTATCAATATGAATATTAACAATCTAATATTTAATGCATTTGTACGACCATTTCTTATATTTCTACAAATTATTTCACATACATACAAAATGAATTTAAAATGATGCTCAATAATTTAATCAGATCTCATAATCATATGGATACGCCTTCTGAAATGAAAGATTACGAACTTAGTTATAATAAACAATTCAAGTGCTCAGTATTTAAGGATCTCACTGAATTTGACGAATTCTCTTATACATAAAAAATACACATTGAAATCATAATGAACCGATAACGTCTTGACATCAAATAATATTATCATTAAGAAATTCAAATATACGGAGCACGAATGCGGAATTAGCCAAAATGCTGAGTCAAAATATTATGCAAGTAAGGTATTCCACATGAACAGATCCTACTGTTTTGTACGAAACTAGCTGTTTATGCCCACGTAAATATTTTTGTAAGTAATCGCCTTTATAGAAATATTTATTTGTTTTTCCTAGAATTATTTCATATATGCAGACTGTTATTTTGATAAACAAACAAACTTCTTATAAACGGTATATGGTCTTGTATTCATTATTACCATATGTAGACTACCTTTTTTCAATTTAAAAACATTGTGATTAAAAGCCATTACTTTATTTTTTTCACTTGAGGATAGAAGTATAAACTTATTGTGAATATGAAGTGTATTAATCATTTAACATAGAAAGAGTATTTTTATCATCCCTTTCACAAATATTTTTTCAAGATGATAAATCTTCTATCTGAACTCTAGATTCGGTTTCCTAAGCTCTTCTAGTAACCTCCAGGCTAATCTACACTGAAACTTGAACACGAGAAAAAAGGCGTGCAATATGGAAGAAAGGCTTTACTCCAACGTTCGTTCATGTACAGAAAATCTAGGGTATTTATGGCATTTTAGATGGTGTTGGGCTTCCGTAAAATTCTGGAACGCTACTAAACGCGACATGTGACTTTTCACTTTTTAGATGTTTCTGGCAAAACTTCTATTGGATGCTGATCGGATGAGATGTCTCTCATAGCCCCTTTTGGTTTTTGTAGAGGAAATTCATGGATCTCCCTATTTGATGTCAGACAGTGATTAAAAGTTTGACGTCAAGTATTTTTTGTTATAAATCACAAACAAAATAAAATATTGGGACTCAGTTGAGGAGTTTCATACTGGAACAAAACAGCTATCTATTGGTTCCCGAGTTTCAATGGTTGCTTAAACAAGACCAATATGTGACGTTAGCTATATTCACCAAGTAGACAATTGTCGCTCATTCATAAACTAACTTGATCTTCTCATTCTTTCACAAGCTGCTAGATCATTGTGTTATAACAACGAGAGCTACTGTAGTACTTCATACCGGTAACCACTGTAATTTCTATGAAGTGAAATACGTACACGGAAACTGACTGAAGAACACTTATTTCTCTATCCAAAACACACCGTGTATTTAATAAAAATAGACTTTTTCATTTTGATTGTTACACACGCTTCATGACACACTAATAAATATCACATATAAAGAAAATAAAGGAATTACTGAAAAACATATTATCCACATCACACTGAATGAAGCTTATACCAAACTAATACAAAGAATATTATACTGAGTAAACTTCATACTCAAATAAAATAAATGTTATCGCAAACAGAATATCGCACTGAAAATAAACGAATATTACTCTGAGTAGTCATTACACTTATTTAAAAAGGGAGTAATCTTGAGTAAAATTTACACTGATATCACATCCCGTCTTAACACAACACGTACCATCCCTTCGATATTTGATTTTTCTGAACAATTCATGAAGCAATACCACTCTAGTTTTTATAACTATAAAAAATTATAAGTGGAGATGGGTCATATCTAGAAGTGGAATCCAGGACGCGCGCTTCATCCTATTTGGAACTCCTTAGCTAAATGTACCTGCATCCCAGAGTTGATGTTCACTCCAGGACTGATAAATTACAATCGTAAACGTCAACGGGGGGATTCAAACAACCAATGCAAAAATGAATTACAAAAAATTAGTTCCAAATTTTAACCATAATCCTTACCTCAGCTCATCGCCAAAATGTATATTTAGATTTGAATAAATTGAGACCCCAATTATGCCCCTGACTTTGAAATACTAATTTAAACTCCGTCATACTAAAAACTATTAAGATAGGTGAAACATACATAATTTAAAATCAATGTTAACTTTTAATTCTCAAGGACCATGAAATTTCAACGCTATGGAGAAAATAGTTAAGACCTGAAAAGAAATAAAAATCAAATAGAACTACTACTATGCTCGATCATATATACATTTTTATCATGAACTTGAAGTAGTCAAACTGAATATTTCTATATTTTTGACTCTAACCTCTTTCTACTTGAAGAAGTAATCTGTTTAAAGTTTTTCCAGTGGAACTGGACATGACAACAAACAATCCCAAGAGAGAAAATCACATGTTATTGCAAAGATAAACTTACAAAAAACCACACTTAATACCCAGAGAACAAAACTCCATAAGAATGATATCAAACCTTCCCGTGTCAATCAGATATAATACTACAAAAATCTACCTAAAATTTGTTACTGACAAAATGTTTAAATGGTATGATAAGTTAGCCTGTATTACAACTTGGAATCTATTGTGAGCTCTGTGATCATCCCCCCTTGTCGTGATTCCAACCGAAATAAATGAACATCAAGTGGCTGTAAACTACGTCTAAATCCTAAAATACCAAACACAAAGATACACCATAAGATTTTTCAGAAGCCAAATTGAATTAATTTTAAGTCGCTTAATATACAGACTAGTGTAAAACTTAGATTGGTTTCTTGTGACTATAATTAGCGTTTTAACTAAAGATAAGCGGGTTACAACCATAAGTGTGAAATGTTTGATTTACTGATTGCTGAAAACAAGAAGTTAGAAGATTCAGGGTAACTTTGATTGGACACTTACAAATAGATGTGTAGTAAGGAAGTTCCATTCTTTGGACCAATTTTTGGTATCAAATATAATTAATAAAAATAGCTGTTTACCACCAAGTGTAAAAGTGGCTACGTCGAAGTTTAATGTAGATGATCGTTAATCATTCTGCTGTGACGTAAATGTTTACGAATACTAACATATTCTGTGCTGTCACATCGAGTTCTAACCTGAAAAGATGTCTTCCGTAGGATATCTCAAATACAAATACTCTTATCCGTCTATCAGCGCGTCAACCGCAATAATTAATGTATGGGCCAAATCTCCATGTAATATAATAACACTCAATTACCTACTGACATTAAATCTTAACAATAAAAAGGTTTAGTGTGAGTATCTTCTGATGGTGAGAAGTACACCGAATGCATCAGATACACATTGAACCACATGGTTATATATAAAGCTCACATACATCTGTATCCAAAATCATTTGCAAATCAATAGTTCCTAAGGCTAGAAATAAATAACCCTAGTCAACTAATATATTAGAAAGCTAAATCATAAAACATGACTTGTTTTCACACAAGATAACGAGAAGCTAAATAAGAATTTAGGTTGGGAGTGATTTATTTCAGGCTTAGCTTACCATCCCTACATGTATGTATGCTAGTCAGCTTCGCAAATTTGTTGGAAAGTTTCATGCTTTCAAAAATACAGAATAAATTAAGAATAGACAAAACGCATATTAATGCAGTAGTAGTAACTAATGTCCTGCTGTCAAGTATTGAATGCTAAATGAATTATATCGATCGAAACACAGTGAGGCGATGAACGACATCCATCTGCTCAGGAATGTAAATATTCCTTGGTGACAAACGCCAGTGAGCATAGATTTAGGGATTACGTCGATCGCCGCTAACTAACAACAAGATTATTTTATCAATCCATAAGGTATTTTAGCCCAATACATTTTGAACGATCTGGTTATATACATATATATCAACTCTTCACACTTTATAAATTCATCAGTGTTCTAGGAAAACATCATTAGAAATAACTGAACTGAGCGTAACAAACAGTACGGCAGGTTTAGACCTTCGTCTAATAAAATAAAATCTTAACCTATCCTTCAGCACACAGAGATCCCCATTTTAAGCTTAAATTGTAAGATCCAACATATCTAACTCGTGAGATTTTTGTGGATTAACATCTACTAACGAAAAAGTTAACCTTCTAGATGTTGCGATCAGTTGAATTATGGAAACATTTGATAACTTGTGATAGAGAAGCTTTAAAAATATGTTGATATTCATGTCATTCCAGAAAAACTTCATAGCTGTGAATATACTCGGAATTCAGACATGAAACCTAAAAACTTAGAATAACTATTAAAGTACATCTATTTTATTCATAATCCAGAAATATATTTACATGTTAAGTGACTGGGATTCTCTGATAAATATCGAACCAACTTATACAAATACAAAGCACAAAGATAAACAGGTCAATTTCGACTTAACGAACAACAAGATTCATCCTCACTAGGAGACATTAATCTCTTCCCCGTGGGAATTATTTCAGCATTAACTGTTAGTAGTATACACGATCGGAACTTCTAATGTTCAACATCAATTTATAGTAATAATTGTATTTACGACTGTTTGGTTTATAAAATGAATTGTACTCCCTCGTCAAACAAAATATCATCGTTAATCCTATCAACAACCACACAGCTTACAAACACATGAGCGGCCGAAACACCTTTCACCATAAACCAATCAACAGTTTATTATTATTATTATTATTATTATTATTATTATTATTATTATTATTATTATTATGGACTAATCTCTACACGAAATATTTCCTTATTCAACATTCAACTTCATTTCATTTAACAAAACAAAGATTGAATCTAAAAACAACTTTTATTCAATCATAAAACCTACTCACTTTAAAGTAACAAAAATAAGCAAGACAAAACGAGTTCAAACGAATTTCAGCGGTACTAAGCAAACATTATAGTACAGATCACACTATGTTATTGAAAACTATTTTACAAAAGAACAGATGAAATTCAACAACCCACTGATTTATTTTGTGGTATTTGTTATACTACTGATAATTATAATAATACTATTTCCAATAATAAAGAAATGACAAAAAGAACAAAATGAAATCAAAAGTCACCTATACAAAATAAGTTGTAGAAAAAATACTGAAAAAAATAGTATGCGAGAATAATACTTATTGCCATAGTTGTGGCGAGTAAGTCTTCACCGGATGAAAGAGACAAATTTCACCCTGTATCATATATTCCATTTACAAGTTATCCGTACCAACACACTGCAAACAGAAAAAAAAAGTAAGAATTACTATTATTGAAAGAAAATATTTTTAAAGTATGTAGCAATGAAATATATGTTCCGCCTGGTATATACGCGAACTAAGCTACTGCAATTATTATCAATGGATGACCATGGAATTCTTTTGTTAATGAACGTGATGTTTTATTCTTCTCGACTATCAATTTACTGTACGGACTACCGGTAAATTGAATTTTGTTAGTGCCTATGTACAAGATTCTAACAAAACATTTGGAATAAAGAAGTCTGTGTGCGAAAATTGTCCCAAAGTTGCTGACGCTCGACTGAACAAGAACTGAGTGGTGACCTCACCAGTAAAACATCGAGATGAAATTACAAAACGAAAAGTGAATGATGAAATATGAGACGACAATGCAAATGAAACGTTTCACTGAGGAGGAACACCTGTGATAATGGAAACAAAGGAGGGAAAAGTCCATTGTCGCTGATGGAGTGTATTTTGATGAAGATAAGATTGATTTAAACAATACATTTAAAGCGGGTTAAGACAGTAGCATAAATATAGATTAAATAGATCACGTATATGACAATTTATTATGAACCATATAGTCGCGCCTACTAAATAAGTTTCACATTCTGATACTGTATATATATTTCAATATAAAATGCTCAGTTCTGCACATGCCTCCATGATTCTGAAAGAACAAATGGAGTATGAACCAATCGCTGGTCACCGACCACCATGGAACTGCATCTCCTGACGTTGCTCCACTGCCTCGTTGATCGGACCTTTAGGTCGAAGACTCCGGGCGTAGCTCCCTAAGAAAACCACCTGCTTCGGTATGGGCACCCGGATAGTATCTAAGCTCATACACAGATCAAGTGACTTGTGTGGCACATATGTATTCGGTGCCCCTTTGTACCAATATTTATATTTTCAAATAAATAAATAGATATCTGAATAACCATAATAAATATGGGTCAAATTCACAAAGCAGTGAAGTCTATTACACAGAATATGTAGTGAAAAGTCTACATCTTCCTATCATATAATAAAAATTCTCATTTATTAAGATTGAAACTATTACTTAAACATAGGATTTCTTAGCGTAAGGGAACAGATTCAAGTTGTCACACTTTGCAGTAACACAGTAAAATGAAAACTAATAAAACCAATATCGATCAAGAAAAGCAAAAATCGACGAAGAGCAAAAAATTTACAAAAGGTTTAAGAAGGGTAAAGAATACATACGCATCACTGTAATCCATTTTAAACCATGTTAACTTTGACACTTAATTACTGATTTCCGTCACTGAATAGACGTCATGTGGTAAGTGTTTATTTCGTTAAAATTAGATCGTTAGTACCTTTAAGAACCCGTTACGTTTTCATCTGAATTTTCTACTTCAATCAAAATAGTGTTGTAGGATAGATGCTAACTGGACAAACGCAAAATGATATCTTTGTAATAGTAAAGAAGCATTTACAACTGATTTATGGATTATTGTTCAGATGTGAGTCATTTAAAGTTATTTATCGTATTCCCACTAATTTTCGCTATGGTGTTCGATCTCGTCTCTTTCACATAGCAGAAGCTATAGGAATTCGAGCCAGCAAGCCGAGTCTTTGTGTTCAGAAGAAATTTGTAACACCCTTATCTCTCCCTTGGCCTTAATAAATGAATTTATTTATTACTTTCTTTTCAAACCTTCTCTTTGTTTATAAATTCTTCTTCACTCCCTCCTACTATTTTATTTTTATTTTTTCACGGTTCAATTATCTGAACACTTCTCATTACGTCATCTTATAATAATTTTTATAAATGTTATCTCACTATCTATATTTTTCTAATCATTGACCTATTTCCGATTATGTAACATTGATTTGAGCCTTTATTATTCTTATAAAAACTAGTACACCTGTCATCACACTATCTATTTGTACTTTTCACATATTATGTAATCATTTTATTCATCGTTATCATTGATTTATAAACTACCTTGATTGGTTTAATAATTTCGTATATGCATATAAATATTACTGTATATTAGAGTAAAGCCTAATGTGGATCTAATCGAAAACAATATTGTTCGCTTATATATGTTGTTCTAATAAATATTAACAGCCAGCATAGCAGCAGTCTCTGCATCAGTAGGCCTCAACATACACAAAGGGAAAACCAAGGTCCTCAAACACAACACGGAGAACAGCAATCCAATCACTCTTGATGGCGAAACTCTGGAAGACGTGGAATCCTTCACATACCTGGGAAGCATCGTTGATAAACAAGGAGGTTCAGATGCAGACGTCAAGGCGAGGATTGGCAAAGCTAGAGCGGCATTCCTTCAACTGAAGAACATATGGAACTCAAAACAACTTTCAACCAATATCAAACTCAGAATCTTCAATACGAACGTCAAGGCAGTTCTACTGTACGGAGCTGAAACTTGGAGAACTACAACAACCACCATCAAGAAGGTACAGGTATTTATCAATAGCTGTCTACGCATGATACTCAACATCCATTGGCCGGATACCATCAGCAACAGCCTTTTGTGGGAGAGAACCAACCAGCTTCCAGCTGAAGAGGAAATTAGGAAAAGACGATGGAAATGGATAGGACATACATTGAGGAAATCATCAAACTGCATTACGAGACAAGCGCTAACTTGGAATCCTGAAGGGAAGCGGAAAAGAGGAAGGCCAAAGAACACATTACGTCGGGAAATAGAAGCAGATATGAAAAAGATGAATAAGAACTGGAAAGAGCTTGAAAGGATTGCCCAGGACAGGGTTGGATGGAGAATGCTGGTGAGCGGCCTATGCTCCTTCACGAGGAGTAACAGGCGTAAGTAAGTAAGTAAGTAATAAATATTAACCAAAAAAGTTCTCAATTAAAAATGGCTACACTTTTGGTGTTGCGATTTAAATACCACAATGATCCAGTAAAATCTAACTGGATAAAATGTTAGTTAATTGTCTAAACGTAACTAATATTTCAACCTCTCAATCGAAATCTATCATATCAATTTATAATCTTTTCTTGACCCTAGAAAGTAATTGCTTTTAAAGGCCGCTTTAGCATCTCTTACAGACAGTCCATAAATTATAGTCTCGCCTGTATAACATAAATACAAAAAAAACAGATGAATAATATGATCTAAATGTCTGATATGAATTGTCTATTATTAAAAAGTGATATCATGATATAGTTGGGAATAGAATTATTGATTTAGTTCCATTTCCCATACAATCATGTTAACCTTTAGCACTGAGGAATCGTAAGATTTAATCAGTCTGCTCAGTGTACTTTTATTTTCCAGACATTGCAGGCCCAAGGTCACGTGACCATCACAAAATAAGTATGAGTCACGCTGAATAATAACTGAATGTTGAATAGTGACCAATGTCATAATTATTTGGACCATAATCTTGGACGAATTCTATTGATCAAGTTTCAATGTGGCCACCAGTGGGACTCGACAGAGTGTACGACGTGCAGATTTTAGTTGGGAGCAGTTGGTAGGATGCCAGGAACCTAGGCTTTGTAGCAATCGTCAGGAAAACATACTCCCAGTCTTGAGATAATCGATTCTTTCTATGCGAGCAACTCCATTGGGACCCGAATAGAACATTGTAACCTATTAGACTGTAGAGCCGATGACGCTGGTTCGAATTATATAGATGGGAATTTCTCCAATACCCCAGATACGTCTCGATGGGGAATGGCAACTAGCACAAAACCAAGGCTTACGGTTCCTAGTCGACAGCATCCAACTAACACTAATATTTTTTATGGAATATGATACGAATTTAACCAGCAGTTTACAAAATAAAGTGGGTAGTCCATATTTAGATGAAAAGGGCGTATGATGTTCACCTGGCGTCATTCGTTCTAGAGGATTTACCTACAAAGATAGTAGATGGATCATTAAGAAAGAAACTACACAGGAAGAACACTTTTTAAGCGACCAGTCACCTCCTTTTGCACTTATCAGTCTAACTACCACTGTGGAGCAAATATTCTAGAAATTCCGGATCTCTGTATGTCGTGATTTTTTAAAAATGTATATGCCCTAAATTGGGCCGTACGTTTGCAGCATTGATTTGTATTTTGAATGGAGGACATGATGAGAATTTATCGAAAAGAATGCTCTCAGTTTTAAGGAAATATAATCCCTCATACGTTACAGGACACGAGTAGAGTATTTTGTCTATTTCAGAACTCCGGAGAATGATGAATGATTCAAACAGAATAAATGATCTAGAAATAAAGACTTTAGTCTATATTCGATCAAATAGTTTCACAGTATTTGAGCGCCGAGTTGATGTGAGACATTAAAGAGGGAGAATGTATTTGTAAAATCTCAGCGAAAGAATTTGAAGTAAATCCAACGTTTCGCCTGGCAATCTGGGCCAAGCTGTTTCAAGGAAATATAATCAAACATCAAAATTATCGGATATAAATAGGTACATGTTTCTCAGGTTCACTGCATACTGAATAGGTTATCCAATCAACGTTAACAATATTTAAGGTAGGTATTTGCATTATTGTGTAAGAGATGTGTTGTGAAACGAAAAGTGTTAAGATAACAGATTGTGTGTATATGTAAGTGAGAAGAAATTTCACTCACTATATAACGTCTCTGGTTGGTGAATATTATGAAAACATAATTTTTAGAAATGATATGAATCCCAAATGTCTCAGCATGCATAAAATGAAGATAAATAAACAAGATAAAAGAATGAACAATCAGAAGACGAAGATCAACTTCGTATTCTCATTGTTTTATCGAAGTTTATAAAAGGGACTTGTGCCATTGAAATCAATTGTATGAGCCGATTCTATCGAGTGTAATTCTATCGCTGATTTGTTCTCGAGTTTTTTTTTACCTTAACTGAAGATTTAGGAATGTGCTTTAAGTATGGTTTGTGTTCCCTTACCCTCATATTCAGTTGTCTTGATGTTTCACTTACATACTTTGCATTACAGTCACTACACTTGATTTCATAAACAC